TTGTTGACTGGTTGGTTGGTCAGTTGGTTTGCTTTTGAGTTTTGGGGGTTTTTGCATAAAGTATGTGTTATTTGCATGGTTTTGGCTCTAAATATAATGTGCTGTTAATTTCAATACATATAAAAATAGTTAAACAAGGTTGGGAGTCACCTTTGCTCATTCCTGTGAAATCATTCTGCCTTGTAGTGGGACAAGCCTATTAAAGTCTTGTACCTAGTGGTCACAGGGAAGACATTTGTGTGTACAGGAGCAAATTCTAGACACTGATCAGGATGAAAATTCAGATAATAAATTGTTAAATTACTGAAATGAACTGTAAGATTTGTTTGGAGAAGTATCATTTCAAGTATCATTTTTGTGATGTAGAGTTTCTCTTCTATGAAAGGGTAAAGATTCAAATCAGTTTTGGTCATACATTTATTTCAGTCAACCTGAGTGCAATGGGAAGAATGAAGCAATGTTAAAATCAGAAATAAAATATTGTTTTGGGCAATGATTTTTCCCTATAATATAAACGTAAGGCCACTAATAAACTACTCATACTGTATTGAAATAGTATAAATTAAAATGTTGTACATCCCGTGTACTGTGTAGAATGTACATATTACCAAAAGTATTTTAGGGTTGTGATACTATCTTAATCCTGGTGGTTTTGCTCTGTCTGGAAAAGTGTATAGTATAGTAGTAAGAAAAATTATGTTTTCTAACTCTCACATTAAATAAACACTTTTTTTAAAAGAAGGTGTTAAGCAATGTACAAAAGTGAGACTGGAAAGATGGTATTATGAGCAATATTCTAATTTACAGTGAGAAAAGGTCTTTTTAATAGTGTGAGGAAACATTTTCCTTTTTAGAGGAAAGCTAACTGACCTACTAACTATCCTCACTTGTGCACAGAAATATAGTTGAAACTGTTCTCTCTAGTACATATCAAGCGTAATGAAGAAACCCACACATTCTTTTGCCATAAAGCTTTTTCTGTCTCTTCAGGGAAGCAATCAGTCGTGTTTGTGAAGCCATGCCTGGTGCCAAAAGAGCCTTCAAGAAACGAAAGGTATTTTTTTTCCTGTAGTCGAGTTGACTGTATTTTCTCTGTACAACACAGTGGAGACCAGGCACAGCAGGCAGGTGACTTTAAGGCAGCTTTGAGAATTGCAGATGATTAATCATTTAAAGTATTGGCTGTTTTTACTCACTGTATGTTGTCACTTGCCCTTTTTGTCAGGATCTGCTTTTGTACACATCTGGAGATATAAGTACATCTAGGATGAAGATTGTGCCTCTATGTTCCTTCCATAGAAACCTCCTCCTTTTACTTTCTTTCTTTTGTAGATTGCAGGTGGAAGAGTTAAAACCAACAAATGGGATGCCTTTTCATAAAATTAGTGAGTAAATTATGAAAATAGGTGCTGGAAGATACAGTAGAAATGCAAAACATATATAGTTTTGAAAGTGAATAGATTTGTTCTTCAAAGATAGATATACTAATGTCATTTAAAGAGTTTGGTAATCACTGATTTCTGGAAATGGAAAGGGCATATGAGGTGATCCTTTGTCCCTCTGCTTTTTCCATAAATGCTTCAGTGCCCAGTGCTGATGGTGAGTCCAGTGTGTACCTGACATCGTTACTACCATGCTTTTATTTTCATTTGTGTGCTGGGAGTTAGAGCCTTCATACAGGGAGAGGAGGAAGCCTTGGCTCAGCTCCTGCACTGATGGCTCTCAACAGTCTCTTCCAGAGGCCTGCTAGCAAAGTTGGGATGTGATGCTATCTCTGGGGGGAAAAGAATAGAAAGCAGTTATTTATAGCCCTTGTGTGTGTTCTCGGGCACAGAAGGAGAATCCGCCGGTGAAGCAAAAGTTCTGCCTGCTTCCCCAGCTGCTCCACCATCTAGGCAGAATCTCAGCAGAAGGAACACAATGAAAAGCCACTTGTTGGCAATGGAGAACCACATACTGGTAAAATCAGTCATATGTGACAACACGTGTCACAATGTAATTGGAAATTGTCTCAGAAATTAAAGCTATGGTTTCACCTCCACCAAATTTATCTCATTGGCATTTCTTGGTTCTCTGGCTTTTCATTTTAAATTTGAAAGTTAAGACAAAAGTATCTTTCTTCTTAGAAAGCAAAATGACACAAAATGTAGCTGAAAAAGTTAAACAGAGTTCCAAGCGCCTAGTGAGACATCTTGCTATATTACAGGTTTTAAAAGTAATGTGACTTATAAGTTATTGAAAAGAGCAACAGAATTTCAGATAAATGTCAAAGACGTGTCTTTTGCTGCTCTGTACATTCATAATGTTTCTGCCACTAGTGGCATATTAATTTGGTTTAGGTGACAGGTACTTCCTGAAGCGAAATTTTCTCACTTTACCTGCACTGTGGATAGGTGATCCTTAGGCATGAATCATAAAGGGAACCATGAAGGATTAAGGAAAGAGGGGATACAAGAATATTCCAAAGAGTTTGTTCAAAAGAGAAGTTAATGAAGTACTAGCTCTGTAACATGAAAGGGTTTGAATAGTGCAGCACATGTTCCATAGGAACAGTATGTAAGTAGTGTATTTTTAATCAGCATAACAGAAGGGAAAGAAGATAAAATTGAATGTATGTAAACTTGCAGGGCTACAAAAGCTCAAGTGTGTCCATTCCTGCTAGGAACAAAACCATCCAAGCTTGCAGGCAGCTTGGGACAAGTGCAAATATGATGGCAGAAGAGCACTGTCTGCAGTTATTGTTTATATCCTAATAACTAGCATAACTATTCACCAGTGCAAGCAGAGCAAGTTAAAGGGCTTGGTCTGTTACTGCTGGGCAGCCTTATTTTTCACAGGCTGTGGTTGCTTGAATGCAGCTGCTCTCATGCAGCTATGTGGTTCCCCATGAGGTCAAAGGTGTAAAGATTGTGAATTTTGCTTTGACAGCATAACTTCTATTGCTGCAATACCTCCTAAGAGCTGGTGAAATGCCTATAAAAGTTATCAATACTGTTACATCCCCTGTATTACATTCTTAGACTTATTATCTGATGATCTTTAGATGCATCTTTTACCCCAGCATAAAGAGGTTTTATTTGTCTATATCTGGCTTTTACCTACCCTCAACTCTACAAGAAAAGTCAGAGAATGGTTGGTGTTGGAAGGGACCTTTAGAGATCATCTAGTCCATAATACTCTATCCCATTTTGTAAGCATTCCATCGGTATTACTGGAGTCCCACTTTCCATGTGGCAAGGGGTAGAACAGTCAGTAGATGTAGAGCAAATAGAAAATTTAAAGAGTTGAAGCTATTTTTATAGAACAAGCACATCATCATTTTAAGATACGGACTGAAGGCGTTCATCTTCGTTACCTTACTTGGTCCCTGGGTGAAGTGACACTGGTGCTGTCTCACAAAGCCCCTATTTATTTTTTTGGTCAAGAGTAGATGAAGAATTTCTTGGCTATGGTTATAATTATTATTATTAATAGCAGCAGTAGTAGTAGTTGTAGTAGTAGTAGTATAAATGAGAAATAATTTCCAGAGGAAAACAGCTGTTGCAATTCAATGATCTTTGAAAAGTCATAAACTTCTTAGAAGCCTTTAAGATCACCACTAACCCTGCATACAATGAAGGTCATTCAAAAAAAAAAAAATAAATCAGAGAACAAAAATCTGCTTTTTCCCCCCCTCCTCACAGCCACCAAGCAAAGTCCTTTCTAGCATCTTGGGAAAGAGCAATCTTCAGTTTGCAGGAATGAGCATAATGTTGAATATCTCCACCAGCAGCTTAAATCTAATGAATCCTGATACAAAACAGGTGAGTGTAACTTCTGTATTAACTTGTGAGGCTTTTGATGAACAGCCTGCTGCACAATTATTTGCTGTCTGCCAAATACTCAATTGCTCAAAGTTATTATTCCTCAATAATGTCATAAAATGAATGAACCCAAAATATAATCACAGTGGAAGTCAGTTTATTTCACTATTCAACACAACTTTAATAAATTATTTTCTTCTTGTCATGTTTCAGGCAGATTGGTTTTGCTCTTAAAAGACCTGTGATGTGAAATACCATTATCTGGTTGTGGGAGTTCTTATTGAATAAAATGACAAACTTTCAGAGTCATAAAAGGGGTATGCTTGGAGCAACAACTAAAATACTGAATGTGCACCCCCAATTTTGTTGTTTTCTTCCCATTTAGATTATTTAAGGGCAAACTGTTACTAAGGTGCTGCCAAAAATACAGCCTCAGGGATTTTGCAGTGTGGTGAAAGGCCAGTCTTTTAGAGAGACAAGGCAGCCTTTTTAAAGTAGCTCATTTCTTCTTTACTGCACTGAAGATACAGACAGACTTTGGGGAATCACTGCAGTGGTTTGTGAATGATGTATGAGATGAGAAAAATCTTTTCTCAGGGTGTATATAAAAAGGAAGCAGACAGAGATGTGTAGTCAGTGCTGTGCTATTTGCTGTGAACCACATATTGCATTAGGGCATGCAACTTTCTGCCCAGATACAGAGAGAAAAAAAGTAAAATTCCTACTGTCCTTTGGGGCCTCGGGGTTAAAAATAAGAAAAAACATATATACAATTGTTTATTAAAAAGCTTGCTGTTTGTTACTATGTTTTTATACATATATCTTCATTTGTATGTTTATTTAGAAAGCATTACAATCCTCTGCAGTGAGCACTGAGACTGGGGGAGCAGGACCATGACTGGCTGCAGTAGCCTGCAGCCTTATTATGGAATATACAGAGCAGTGCTTTTCATAAGGACACTTCCCATCAGAAGCATAAGAACTCAATGTTAATTAGCTCTACTAAGGAAGTGCCAAACCCTGAAAGTCAGCTTGCCTGTCAGCAGCCAATGGCAGGGCAGAAATGAAGTTAAAGTCTTTTGTTTCAAAGAGTCATCCTCTACATGTTTTCTCTGAATTGACAAAACTGTTCATCTTACTCTTATATCATTCTTTTTGAAGTAGACACCTCTGGGTGCTGCAGGCCTGGGAAATGTCTGGTTTCTCAGAGATCCCTAGTCTGGCTGCAGCCTCCCCTGTTTCTTGTTCATGCCAAGGATTTGATTTGCAGATAAGCATAGCCTAGCAGCTTTGCCCTTTGTGGCCCCACACAGGAGGATGGCTGCAAACTTCTGTAGTAGCGTCCTTTTCCCAGCAGATCTGGAAAGAAGAAAAGACAAGCCAGGGTTGTTGGCCCTTGTGGAAGAAGGAAAGCAACTGCATGCACCCCTGCACAGCAGTTCTGTGAACATATTTACCAGGGATGAGTGGAGCATGACTTTGTTTTGCCTATTTCTTTAAAATGAAGGTTGGTGTAGATTAAAAGGTTTCTTAAATGTATGCTGACATTAGTGAATTGTTTTATTTCAAGCAATGCAAGGCATTAATAGTTTGTTGTATCTTTTTTCAGTATTTTGATATGGGTAGAGGTGAGGTGGGGAATACCCCTGCTTCAAACTAAATTAGCTGTGGAATTAAAAAGAACCCTGACCTAAACACCTTTCAACTTCCTTAAAAATTGGAAAAAAAATAGTTTAGTGACAATATGAAATAATTTTTCTTTTACATGCTGAAATAAATTATTAGGTTATTTGCAGAAGTCAAGATAGTGATAGTATGAAATTGCATAACAGAACTTCACTACTTCAGTTCTGTTGTTAGGATAATCTACATTCTATATGTATATATAGAATGTATATATGTACTATATATTCTATAAGGGAGAAAAGAAAAAGAAATCCTCACTGCTGAGTAGCAGAACACTAATTTACAAGTGCACACTTAAAAACTAACCACATCTTTGGAGGCTGTTGTGGGACAAGTAGGGCTATTGAAAATTAAGTGCTCTTTATATAAAAGAATCATTACAAATATTAGTCACCTCTTGCTGACTTAGTGAAGCAGCAAGACCCAGAGAAACTTCTATCACACTTTTTTCTTTCTGATTAAGGTAGCTGATAGTTCAGGTCTTTAAGAAGCAGATTAGGGGAAACAGCACAGATAATATTTTTCTAGCCCATTTTTTTTTCCAGAATGGTTTTTCTTATGTGGTTCCCTCTCCAAAGTGAAGAATCAAGATCCTAATTCCTATTGTCTGGTGCTCTGAGGCACTTAACAATGGCCCAGATGAATTCCTTGGCATGGCTTCTGTGACTCAAATATCAAGAGAAAATTTCTTTCAAATGACCTTTTCTTTCTTGGTTGTTACATGATTTCATTATTAAAAGATTTTGTAAGTTGATTCTCAGAATAGTAGACATGTTCTGCTTTTATTAGAGGTTCAGGACAAATTGTCTTTTCCCAGAGAAATATCATATTAGTTCAAATCGTACATAAGCAATTTGAATTTCAAATGCCCTGGAGTGTGCCTGTGAATTTGTCCACAATGCTACACTGCAGCTAGATTCAAAATTCTGTTTGCATATTGTAAACATGTTGATGTTTGAAGCATACAATGACACAATAGGTGTTGGATGCAATGTTAGGAATCTTACCTGCTGTAGGGGTTGGCATGGTTTCATTGATTTCACCAGAGCGGCTTCAGCAGAAAAATAGTTTGATGAATAGGACCTTTTGTTTCATTCATCATTATCTGTAATAAAGAAAGTAAGTTTTAGCAGATTAAAATTTCTCCAAAAACACTCTCTGACAGGTCTGTATGATTTACTAGAGATCTGAGTACATTTTAAAGAACACCAGAATACTCATTTATTCCTTAAGTTTGTTTATATTATCATGCTACTCTTTGAAATCCTTGTAGGTAATTTTGATCTTGATTTTGGATTTTCACCAGCATAAAGCAAAAACCAGAAATCAGAATTGCAAACTGTAAGGAACCCATCTGACTCACACTTATTCTTTCTGATCCATACAGATCATAGCAAATCACCATATGCAATCTATCTCCTTTGCATCTGGAGGTGACCCGGTAAGCATTTCTGTAAAGCCTTCTCCCACACAGATACTGCTTTACAAGGGCTGTGTGACAAAATTTAAGGCATATCTCACTGAAAGAAAAATACAACCACTACGGGTCCTGTTTCTTCTTTCATTAATTTTTCTTGATTGTTGCCATCAAGCTCACTTTGAATGTCTGACAGGCATTCATGGATCCTCCCCTGTGAATGACTGTAACAAAAAGTATTAAGGGACTGTAAGCATTCATACAGTAACTGATAAACAGGGCTTTGTTTTTCAGAGAAATGTACAATAGTTATATGGGCGTTGTATGGATTTTTATCCTATTATTTATCTTGCACTTTTTACAGTAATAGAATATGTTGCAGCTATATTTATAGTATTTATAGTTATGTATGCTTTTCTTTTTTTTTTTTTTTCCTCCTCAACTGTAAGTCTGAATTGAGAAGACTGTGCTAAATTCTGCCTGCAGGTATATTTGCTACAGTCATGCAGCTTGAAGACAATCTTTCAGGAAAACCACAGATCTTTCTTTCCTGTTTTGCAAAGCTTTTAGATACACCTACAAATTTTTTTTTTCATTTAGATCAAAGGGCATATTCCTAGTTATTTTTATAACCTGTTTATCGAAAGGTATATTAGTAAATGGACTTCAAAAGTATTTGCCACTCAGGAAGCAAGGGGAAATTTATAAATTAGTGAGAGTGCTCACCTCTTAGAGATTTGAAAGCTTTTAAACTTAGATTAATTGAATAAACACCTTTTTCTCTACCATGTGATTATCTGTCCTATATCAGTCATGTACTACAAGTAAGGCAATTTCTAGCCTGCTTTATGAGATAATTCTCTCAGTTCAACTCTGTTAAGGTGAAGATGGTTGGTGCTTTCTCTGCTCATTATGTTTTTGTCAGAAAACATAAAGACAAATTCTAGTCTTAGTATAGCTTTGCTGAGCTCAGTACAATTGCAGAAAGGAAAAGGACGCAATATCACAATAATTTGGGGAATAAGAAATGGATCAACAGCAGCTTGAAAACACAACAGATTGCAATGCATGCTGTAAATGAACAATTCCTGAAGTGGGCAGAGGAGTGATTAGCACAGTTCCCTGCCTCCATAAGAAGATTCTTTGCTGCCCATCTGCCATCCCAAATGCTAGATCCTGGAAACACCATTTCACACTGCCCACTGATGAAATGATTTACCAGGAAAGAGGAGAGGAACAGCAGTAGAGTTCTGGATTTGGAGTAAACAAGCTCATCCAAATGTTTTAGAGAGATAAAATCTCACTACTGAGTCAGTGAGCTACCAGAGAAATAAAATTGCATGGTGCAAGGGAGTCTACAAGGTACAGTGAAACTATGAATCTGTGTTCCAAATAAGACCACTGCATGGATTAATTCCGGTGTTGGGAGGAAGAAAGTGGGTATGAGTATCTAATGTTTATCTACAAGCTATCTCTGGCCTAGTAAGAAACAATTTTAACTCAAAAGCAAAAAGCAGCTAGTTCCTTTGTCCTGGGTGCATGTAGAAGATGACAAAATGCAAGGATGTGATTTAGCTCACAGCTCATAGATTTATTTACTCATCAGAGAGTCATTTAGATATAACTTTCATCAGCCCTTAATGATTTCTACTTGGTAGTGGAATTCCATCACTGAACTGCATCTCCCAACCACAGCTGGCTTACAGACCATAAATTTATCTCCTTAGATAACTTTTAAACAGGTTGGAGAAAGGCCATAGTGACCTAGAAGCTAGATATGTGCCCATGTTTCTTCAGGAAGTGATTCCCTTATTTTGAAGTTATTTTAGGGTTTGGTTTATTAGGAGGTGAGACTACTCTCACTTCTTTATCACCTCAATATTTCTGCTCTGGATATCTGTCTCCCATTTGTCATAGCAGTTAGGTTTACAACCTTCCTCCCACTCTCTTACCCTTAATTATATTATTCAAAACATAACCCCTTGAGAAGTGTTCCACAGTCCCGGAGAAAGGTTTGAATATATACTTTTGCAATAGTCCCCTTTGCAATGAGTCAGTTTCTGGCTGTGTCAGAATATGGGAGCTTAAAAATCTCTATACCAAATTCTTTTACGTGACATTTCAGAACCATTTTTATTTCACTACTAGGGCTGTGTTCTCAATCTGCTTTAGTTCTCTTCAGCCACTCCTATGATACTCTAAACAATTTTGCTCCACAGTAATTTCAGGTGGCTGTTTCCAGGCTGCCAGAGAAGACATATGTTTTTTGTAGATATCTGCTGAAATTTTGGAGTGGAGGATGTCAAAAAGTCTAATAAATCAGGTCTAATAAGGCAGGTCTCTCAGAGGTCCCTGAAGGCAGTAGTCTTTCAGTTTCAGCAATATCTCCAAATTTTAACACTACAATGCAATGTCTGTAGGTTTAAAATTATATCTCATTCATACTTGTTTTCAGTCCTTGAATGTCAAGGATCACTTTGCTGCATCAGCCAAGTCCTGTATAGTTTTTGGATGAGGGTCTTCTAACTTAGCCACAACTGAAACGTGCCCACCTTAGGTCCTTAATGGTTTGTCTTAGTCAGCTTGAATCTTAGAGCTTTAAATTAAATAAGGAGTAGGTGTTTTCAGACTGTCACACCCACACTGGCTATGAGATAGATCTATGATCTACTCAGGCATAAATGTATCCATTAGCTATGCCTGAAGTAGTAAATAAATTGATCTGTGGCCCATTTTCTAGTCTTTCTGGCCCTGAAATAAATAACACAGTGCAATTTGCACCCACACATTCACTTTCTTCCCTTGTAGTGGTCTCTTGGGATTGATGCCAAGCATGTGCTGGTCCCTCAGAGATTTTCAGAGCATACTGTGAGAAACTAGTACAGTGAGACAAGGGCTCTGTGTTATTTGCTATTATAGACAGAGTTACCTTTGTTTTCCCCTTACTTGCTGATATGCATCCTTATTTCCACTGTGGTCACTGCCCAGACACTGTGCCACAGGATGTGTAAGAAATGGGAAACAAAATGGTAGGGCTATGCTTTTTTAACAGACCAGCCTCGCTGCTGCTGTGTCTGAGTGCCTTCCAAGGATGCATTAAGTGACATGGTTACACATCTGTCACCAGAACCCATGACTGTGCTTCATCATGTCCCTTGCTCTCTCCTCAGGAAGGAAATTGTGTAGACATTCAGTACAGTGATTTGTTTTGGGTGGCTGCTGGTGGTGTGTGCTTGCACTACAAAAAGCCACGCTAAAGAAGTCTATCTTTTAACTGAAGACTGATGTTTATTAGGACATTAGACCTTGGCATAATTGGCAGCGATCTTGGATCAGTCACCTGAAAAGGCTTTGGGTAGATTTACACAGCCAGCTGTGATGTATCCTGTATATCCCTTGGGTTTAGCATACCTGACTAGCCAGGAATGTCAGGAAATACCAGATCTAACCAGGGCTTCCTGATTACATCAAGGCAATATGGCATTTTTCAGATTTATCAGCAGGCCTAAGTGTTTCCCAGAAATCCAGGTGTTTCTGTTTCATCTGCATAATAATAGAAGTCTGCACCATTTGTGCACAGGAGCATTGGGGTGGCAGCTGAGGAAGAATAAGCTCCCACAAGAAGATATCTGTGTGCTCTTGCCAGAAAATTCACCAGGCATGTGGCAAAAGGCGTGGCAGGGAGCAGCCTAAGGGCTGGGGGAGGCTGTGCAGGGACACTGCTTGTCAGAGCCAAGCAGTGGCTGAGCACCTCTGTGCCATATGGCACTGCAGTCAGTAAAGTAAACACCTGCTTGTCACACATGAATAAATGCCATTGCTCAGTATTTCTGAAGAGCAGTGCTGTTACTCCCACTCTTTCTGCCACAGAACCAGATGATTATTCATGTTATGAACCAAAAATCTCTGGGTAGTTTGAAGATAAGGACTTGTCATTCTATTCCCTCCTAAATGAGGCCTGGGCCAAATCCTACTGAGTTTGTTTAACTGATAGAAGAGATTTTAAAATTCTGCTGGATTAGATCACATTCTGTAAAAAGAAAAGTGATGTCATGAGTACCAAAACCCATAAACTTTTATATGGGGCTTAAGTAATATGCATCTGTAAAGAAGAATATGTCATTTGTGGCTCTGCCCACCAGACTGTACATACTGTGGACTGATCTTTTGCTGTAATCAGTGCAAATATGTTTTTCATTCACTGTAGGTATCTTAATTTTTTGACAGGATACTTCAGACTATATTGCATATGTAGCTAAGGATCCTGTTAATCGTAGAGGTAAGTTATATCTATTTTAAGTCTGTTTTTCCTTTGAGGAACACTAGTTATTCATGGTTTAGGTCAGATTCCACCCCCACGCCTCACCTCCCTCCTGAAAAACACAAATGTAGCATATATCCCAATCAAAGGATGGCCTTTGACAGAGCCATGGAAAGATTGCATAGCAATAAGAAGCAGCAGTTTCTTTCTCTTAGAATAAACAGGTCTTCCCACTAGTTCATACCCAAATATCACTTTGATTCTCTTCATCTCTGAAATCAAACACTTGCCTTAGGTGGCTGTGTGAGCTTCTAGGCAACAGCCAAGAGTTCCCTACCCCCAGTCACTGTGCAAGAGCTAGGCAGTCTTCTGATTCAGTCATCTGATGAGGCAGCTGTATCTGTTAGGTCTTCCCAGTACATGCCTAAGTCTTCCTGGCAGAATCAGATTCTTTATCGAATAACTAGCTTTGCAGCCAGCTTGCTGTAATTCTCTCTCTCAGTAGAGTTTTATTCAAGGTTATATTGCTTTAGTAGCAATCGGTCAGGGACAGGGACCTGCTTGTCAATTGTATTCACTAAGTCTTAATGCAACATACAAAGTATCTTGTAATGTACCAGAGAATCTATTTACAATTCATAGGTCATAGAGAGAGAAGAACAGATTCTCCCCCCCAAAAATGACATTAAGTACTTTCAACAGGATTTTAGGAGAGTTCACTTAACTCTAAAATGCCAATCCTGCAAACCCTCAGCTGCCCACTTTGCCACTGGCACAATAGACCCAGTAGCTTCCATATGTAGTAATGTTTAATGATACCTGAAGAATCTGCTGTGTCCATGTGCAGAGATGTCCAGACTTGAGGGTGTTACCTCGTAAGTAATACCTGCACTAAGCATACTAATATGCTGAACATAAGTGAAATACCTAGAAAACTTAAAGGGAACGGGAGGTATGGAATAGTCGCATTCTTTGCAATGCTTTTTCCATTATAACATCATGTGTCCCCTGTTGTAGAGGCTCCAGTGTCAGGCTGTGGAATGCATGGTGCAGAGCTGCTTTCCAGCCCACCTGCTTTAGCAGTGCACTTCTGCTAAACCCAAGACTGATTTAGTTGTTCTGAGAGACCTCAGTCAGCATAGGGACTAGCACTGTAGCCCAGATATTTGCTCTGTAGGGTTCAGAGGAGCCCTGTGCTCTGTCTTCTGTTGTGTTCCCTCTGCACTATGTTCTTGCTGTACTATGTTCCTTCTATCTTACATCCTTATCTTCCTGTGGCTGTTCCTTGTTGAGTTAGGCTATCCTAGACTGAGAAGTCATCTGAGCACCTGATATTGTTGCCTTCCTTTGGTGTATTCAGGTCAAGTAATTTCTTTGTTTTCTTTATGCAATGATTGACTGATTGTAGCATTCCAACTGCAGTGCAAATCCTTCATTCTTCAGATAATTTCTGTACCTTCTTTCTTAATTTTCCTTTCAAAAAGCTATATGATACCTGCATAACAGGGACTGCCACTATAGCAGAGAATGCACCTTCTATTTTTCCTTCATTTTGTCCTCTTCAAAAGGTGGTTCCTTCTAAGCTCTTTTTGCTGCAGTGAAGCACTGTTACCTCATGCGAAATTCTTTCATGCTGTGATCTTTAAACCTTCAGCATTATGGCTTTCCCATGGGTGCTTCCCCCCACTCATCTGTATACATCAGTGATTTGCAGATCAGTGACTTTGTATGTCACGTGTATTAAAACACATTCTTTAAAAGGGTCTAATTTACCAAGGGACCTGAATTGCCATCTTTCACCAACACATGCCATTCTGTCATTCTTTGTGTTGTTTGCAAATTACTTTAAAAGGGAATTTGTCTTTACATCTGTATCTAGCAAAAATGTCACTGCTGCTGTTACTGATGCTACCCTACCACCAATGCTGTAGTATAGCTTGCATATTAGACTCATTTCTTCACAAGGATGGAAAAGCTGTCTTCGTGCTTTGCATTCTGGATCTAGCAAGCTCAAGGCTGTCTATTTTCTGCTGTAACATTCACAAGAAATCATCTCTGTGTGAGCCAAACCTTCTCATCCTTTTATAAGAAGCATATCTCCTACCTGCTGAAAGTCCATTCACGTATCCAAGGAAACAGGTTACTCATTATGTCACCTACTGAAACTACTTAATGACTCATGCTTCATTTCAGCTTCAGAAAGGTTTAGCAGTGAGCGATATTGCCTCCTTAAATTTGCACTCTAGTTATAGAGTGCAAACATTTTAGCTTTGTTTGGCCTAACTACTTTTGGTCCACGTTTTCAGAGATAAATGTTAACCTTCCATGGGGGCAGGTTGTTCAATGCCAATAGCAGTGTTGCAGAGGGCATAAAAAAAACCAAAAACAACACCTCACTGCTAGTCAGGGATGTCTGCATCCATCTTTGGACACATGGAGGTCCTGTTTTTGTCTGCTGAATCCCCTTTCAATGTGTAACTAGGGGCATTTTCCCTGGACAAAGCAGTTCAGCTTGCTGGTTGGCACAGCAGATGCTCTAAGGTGAGAAGAGAACACCACTGTATCTGTTTGGCACTGTGACTGGTGCCCTCTCAGGCTGAATGAGGTGCTGTTGCTGCTGCTGCAGAGAAACATCAGATATTCCATACTAGCACATGTTCAGGTTTCTTTATTTTGACCCTTTATTTTGGCCTCTTCAGAAGTCTATCCAATATTTCAGCCTCTGAAAAGGGCATAAACCATAAACTAAAGTCATAATCCATAAACTGAGCCTATGTAGTCTCCCTGTATTACTTAAACTAAATGTCACGATCAACCCTTATTTGTAGTACACTGGCATCCAATACACTTGGTTCCAGTGATTTGGACACTGGGTGTGTACTAAAATATAGTTTTTCAGCTGAAGAGTTTATATTCAGGCTATTAAAACAATCAGGGGTGAGAAATCAGTAACTTTAACCCAGAACCCACTTTTCTGTGGCAGGACCTGGAAAAGAACTAATTTGAAATCCAGACTATAGCCAGTATACAATATGCTTGTCCAGCTCTGAGTGTGGAAAATTAACTCACCTGGGCTTCTCTGTATATCACTGAAATGCTGTTCATTGAGATCTTTAGCTTCCACCTCTTAGCACCCATCTGTGCTGCTGCAATGTTGAGTAAGCTCTTCACAAGTTCACCTTTTTGTGTTTTCACATATGATGAGACCTCCAAGCCATTCTCTGATTTAAAACCAGGAGAGATCTGTCTGCTTAGACAGCTGATAAAGGCTTCTCAGTCTTTATAGGAGGAGAACTTGTTTTGCTGCTCTCCCCCTTTATTGCCACACTGGGTGTAGAGAAATTGCACATGGGGAAGAGCTGGAGCTAATCAGGTTGTGGGCTCTGCACTCCTCAGCAGCCCCACAGTTTGCTGGGAGTGTCTCCATGCAAACAAGCAGGAAAAGGTACCAACCTCCATATTCCTGGAATAAGATCAGGGCTCATTATCTAGGAAGTATCTGTGGACACTGCTCCTCCCTCAGACTGTAACTGGGGAAAGAGAGAAGCTTGTGAACTTGGGGTGATTAGACATAACAGTAAAGTAATTAAACTGAGAAAAACAAACCTTTTGTTGTTATTACCATTTATTAATATTTTTGTAATTTCAATTTAAAGCTTAGAACTCTTACATAATATATTTCATTCAGGTAATAATAAGTGAAATTTTATGAGGTTTTTTCTGTTCATGAACTCATTAAAATAGTGGCACAATTGGTGACCTTGTCTATAGCAGTTACACATCAGTCCAATTTTATATAACCTTTAAAAACTTGTGATTGCCTGAAACTCACTGTATCAGAACTGGGTTTTACTGAAATGAGCGCATCACTAATAGAGCAACTAAGCTTGACATGTAGGTGTTTTGTCATAGGTCATTGCATCCCACCATGACATAAACAGTGATTTGCACGTGCCAATCTTTTTCATTTAGCTTGTCATATACTGGAATGCTGTGATGGCCTGGCCCAGGATGTCATCAGCACCATAGGGCAAGCATTCGAGCTTCGATTTAAGCAGTACATGCAATGCCCCTCTAAGACACCTACTTTATCTGATAGGTAAGTGCAATAGCTTTCAATTTACTTGATAAAATTAGGACAATGTTGCTGGGCACAGACAGGACTTTGAATACTTAAAAAGGATCTCTGCTGTATTATCGAAACCTAATGAACATGAAAGAAGCAGTCAAAGATAGGCTAAATATGGATTTTAAAATGATGTTAAATGTTCATGTGTTTTGTGTTGTAGTTAGTAGGCAGAGATGGATGGCCAAGAATGGTTGTTATTAGTGGCATTTCCTCATTACTGTCGTAGCAGTTGCGTCAGCTTAGATGGAGTAGGTCAGACTGCTGGGATTCCAAAAGGACTAATGATATTTCAGTATTTCTTATATTAGGGTGATGTTTCTAGGAATGTGATGTATTGCAGGGAGGTTTGACTGCACTGATATCTGGAGGATACAAACTCTCCTTGTATATTTCAAAAGGCTGGGATATAGCATTCTGTTTTCTTTAGAGACATGGATTGCTATGTGCTTACTAACATTACTAGAAACCCTAGTGAACTTTAACCCCCTGTAATTTCTTATATCAGAGCAAAAACAGGTGTATAGGGAATATATGGTACTACTATCCTAATCTGGAAGCATGCTATATTCACATTTCTTGATGTGAATTTGTGAGGTTCTTGCAGAATTACATTGGTGACAGAGCAGTCATTACTAAAGACAAAGATTTAGAGACTTGTCAAATCAATCAAGTCATAACATTACAAGTGCTATTTTAAGGTTAGATAAAGTTTGTTAGTGCAGTTTATAATGGTCTTTAAAGCCAAATTCAAACATACTCTTCTCAATATAAAGAATTTGGTCCATTGCAAAGGAGGTTTATGTCAGTTTGTCCAAACAGAGAAAATTTGCCACATGATCCATCATTGCTTCCTGACTTACAGTGGTAGCTGAAGTGTCTATGCAGTAGTGATCCCCTGACAGGCAGTCTTAACCTGTCTGTAAGTGCATTACAAGCGAGAGGCAAAAGAGAGCACTCTCTTCCTTATAGGATGCAGAGTTTTGAGGACCCATGGACGGAGGAAGATAACGAGGCACCAGAACATCCCTATTACAACAACATCCCAAATAAAATACCTCCCCCTGGCGGATTCCTTGATGCCAGGCTCAAAACAAGGCTTCCCACTGTTGCAGACACACCTCAGGTCAGTATAATTTCATTTCTACTCTCCTGTTATTTTATCCAAAATTTTTTAAAGACATATGTTTTATGGTGGATACCTTGGGACTGTCTATAATCCAAGCCCTTCCTGTGTGGGCAGTTTCCATCTGAATGGCCATTACAGATTGAGGGGGCAACACATTAGGCAGGTTCAAAACAAATTAAAGGAGGTGAAATCCTCATGGTATTAAAAGATTAACTGGGTTCAAGGGACAGAAATCCACTGGGGGCTACTACATTTGCAGAAACCATGTCTGCTTCAGAGAGTATCAAATAGAGCACATTAGCTGGGAATGATTTAATGCAGAATCATTTAAACAATCTAGTGCAGCCATTACCAACAGTTCATTATATTAATGACCTGGGAGTGATCAGTATTCAGCCAGGTTCCTGGGTAGGTTTTCCACCTCATGTTGAACTTAGGTCAGCTTGAATATTTTTACCAGCACTCCTGTTGAAAATTTGACTGCAGTATCAGTGTAGCCTCCTAAAAAGTGTTTTCAGATCCAGCACAACTTTGCTTAAATCCAGAAGAGTCCTGTCTCTAGCCAACATCCTTCCTCAGTGCCCAAGTGCATCCCCTGCTACCACAGTGAATCTTTCAGCTTATGGTGTGAAGAGTGCTGGAGCTGTCTTCTGGTCCCATGTGTGTTTCTGTGGAACATTTTTCCCAGTAACAGGTTGTCAAGACTCGCTATGTGAGTACAAAATAAAGAAATGATGCATCATTTGGTGTCCTGGGGGTCACTAAAAGCAGAAACCAGGGAAGAACACCTGAAGGTCACTGGTAATATCTTACTCTTAACAAATGTATTTGGGATCTATACAGTCTGAAATTATGATGAATTGGAAAGGAAGAGTGAGAGTACACAAAATACATCCAAGGAAATTGACAGAGTCACTTGTAATGTGTCTGAGCATCTTAAAGGAAATTTGAAAATTCATTGCACATGTGTTCATTCTAGTCTGCATCAGGAATGGGAGGAGAGCAAATTTATTATCAGAGCCATCACTTAGGAGAAAAATTCAGTGAAGAATGGCATCATGAGCATGTTAAACAAGGTGAGTTTTGCTACTTTTAGCTGTAATACTGCAGGTGATCTTGAAGGGCAAAGCATGTGAAAGTCTGGTACCTCAAAGTCTTAAGGCAGTGAATGGAACTGGGTTGATAAGTTCCCTTTGTCTGAGTTTTAGTGTTAATACCAGTGAAAAGCATTTGATAATTACCTCTAGATAAATTATTAAATACACACATCCATGAAATATTTTCTTCTGCAGAGCAGCTAATAAATAGAATTACCCAGACTTTCAGCTTTCTAACTTTCTGTATCTTAAAATCCTATTATATTTAAGGGTCTGGTGCATGATCTATTCTGAAAATGTGACCCACTAGGGTATGCAAAATAGAATTTTCAAATGAAAAGCTTAAAGTGGGAAGTTTAATTTGAAATGTGAAGCAATGTTCTCTACTCAACAAATAGAAAATAGTGTATAATATTCCTTTTGTTGTCTTTGAATTCAAGTAATTTCAAAACAAAAAATAATATAAAAATTTCACCCCCATCCAGCTTTATGTGATAACTTTACTGTGTCTCTAGGGACACTTTTGTTCAAATACCAGAATATATTTTCTATTGTTAATCTGTACACATTTGAGGATTTAAAACCTTTTCCTCCTCTCATGACTCCCCAACAGAATATAATTTTTGAAATTTACAATCTTTATTTACAAAGATTTCCTTTCCTCCTGGGAAATAGCCCCACCATACCCTCATTGAAACACAGTTCTGAATCCATTAATTAACACTTTTTCTACTAGATCCAACAACTATTGATTTAAATCTCCCAAGCCAGGAAATTTTAACCTATAGTGATGTTGTGTGATGATAATTAGTCAACACTGTTCTGTCAATTACACAAAAAATGTCTTGACTTTTCTAGGATCTCTAGATATCTGTAGTATGTTAGAAGATAAATCAGAAACAGCACCAACAGGAGAGCTGCCAATATATGTAAACACCCAGCATATAAATAGAGAAGATCTATTGGTACTTCAGGCAGATGCAGAAAGTACCTTCAGTGGAACAGCAGAGGATGCTGAAGCAGGCAGCCCAGGAAAGGATCTATTTGACATGAGTGAGTTCCCTTCCTATTCACTTTCCTTCTAATAAGTAACCAAATATGTTGATGCATTAGTTCTGTATTTAAAAAAAACAATAAAATAATTTTTCAGTTTTCTTAATTTAGTGTTCCTGGTGTAATTATGGGGAATTTTAATATCCAGTTTGGTTTCATATTAGACTGAACTAAAATAAGAGTTGCTGAAGACTTGGATCTAGTCTGTATAACATCTCTGTTAAGGTTAGTTGGAGTCCATGTTATCCTTAACATCACGGGTAATTATGTCAGAAGAAAAATTAATCAGGAAACTTGCCATACAGGAAGGTAAAGGAGGGTGAAGGTATGGATGGGTGGAGAATTGTCTTCAGCCTGTCCTGTGAGTATGTTATGAGGACGCCAATGCATATATGAAAATCTTTGTGCTACAAGGAATCTAGCATGGAAATTAAAGTTCTGATTTGCCTCTTACTCTGAGTAGGCCTACTGTCCTATTTCTTCCAGCTTCAAAGCAGCTTTTCCTAGATCAGAATCATCACCATAGCTGCAAAACCACAGCTTAAGCATGAGCCATAGTTTGGTATTGGTGCTACTAATACACATTGTTTTCGGCCTTGAGAAGACACATAAAGTGAAGAAATGGTGAAAGCATTTGATGCACCGAAAGTTTTCTTGGGGTTTTTTACTCTTTTTACCTCAAATAAATTGCTTATCCATGCTTTATTTAATCCAATTCACATAATTAAAAGGAAGTGAGACAAAGCAATTGGTGCTTAAAAAATTATTTATAAAATAAAATATCTACATTTCTGTTATCTTGGTATAGGAAAAAAAAAACATTTTCTTGGCATGTTTTTGCTGAGATATGGCTCTATTTCCACAGCTTAGTGAGATGTTCAATTGAAAGAAAGAAAGGAGGGAAGAAAGTTGAGAGAGTATCTATCTATGAATATAGATCTGAAAGGAGAAAAATCTGCTGTTTGGAATCAGGGATGTTAACTGTTATCAGCCTTTGGAACATCAGAGAAAAGTAGTATTAGAAAATGTGCCAATTAGCCCTAAGATAGTGGTCTGTTGAGATAAACATATGTCGGACTTTGTGCAGACTGTGGTATAGTGAAGACATTTATAAGCTATTTTTAATAGCTGGCTGAGATATCAAAAAATGGTGACGGCACAACATATTTCCTATTTCTTTGACCTAAATTAGCCTCTCTGTGGCCCCATGCAAACAGGGATTTGTACTCTTTGTACTCCTTGCATCAGAACAATCTGTTTAGAGTTGGTGTATTGCTTCACTGTGCTGCTCTCCAGATGTGCTTTTGTAAGCCTAGGGGCACAGAACATTATTTCTTTTTGATATGTGCTGGTGGGCCAGCACATATCAAGATGAAGGTCTTGCTGGAGGAAATAGCTTCCAAGAGGTCAGTACAGCATGTAAGGAGGCACCCTGTGCACCCTCATTGCTATTTCTGTAAGGCTGTTGGGATTCATTATGACGCTTCTTTCCACTCAACTCTACAACTGCACTGAGCTCAGGACTTAGCTGAGGTTTAAAATGTGCTTCTCCAAGGCTGATTTTAACTAGGCAAATGGTGTTAAATGTGTAAACCTGTGTCTGTTTTATGAAGTTCTCTTCCTAGACAAAGGGTAGGGAGTAGGCTGAGTGGTGAGGGTGAATGTTCCTTACTAGACATAGCCTTGGGCTGGAGACTCAGTAATGGATAATTTTTAAATGAATAAGTTGTTTGAACAGAGACCAGATATGAGTATAATGACATTAGGTACCCCTATTATGCAATTTATTTGAAATTAAACTGTCTGACATACCTAGAAAGACTGAAGAAAAGATTTGCCTGGTACCAGATCATATAAATACAGCTGTTGACAATAGCCACTACTGAAATAAACCAGTACCTTTCAAAAGATCCTGCCAAGGTTCAGCCTGATTTTAATCAGTATTGTTCTGTGCATAACATACATTTTAAACACATTATACTCCTCAGTCTTAATATATTATATAAATCAGTAAGTCTGTTAGTGTATCTTCCCTTATTTTTTTCATAAAGAGAAGTAGTTGTAATGAAAAATAAATTTAGTTTAAAATGACCAGAAAATCACCATTTGGCTACATGATTTACCTCTGAATGATCCTGCTCTTGTTTCTATTTTCCTAACAAGAACCATTTGAAGATGCTCTCAAGAATCAAACATCTGAGGCTATGCTGAAGAAATCCAGCTCCATGGGATGCACCAGTCCTCCTTTACCCAGAGTAGCTGTGCGGACTGAAGCTGAAGACCTGAGTACAGAGCCATGGTATCAAGGAGAAATGAGCAGGAAAGAAGCAGAACAGCTATTAAAGAAATGTGGAGATTTCCTTGTGAGGAAAAGTACCACAAATCCTGGTTCCTATGTGCTGACAGGCATGCACAAAGGACAAGCCAAGCATCTTCTTTTGGTGGACCCAGAAGGAACTGTAAGCACTGACTCCTCACTGATAGAGGAGGTTTCTGACTCTACTCATTTTCTCTAGATACCTTTAATCTTCTTAACAGCTTATTCACATCTTATCATAAGCACCACCTCATATCTCTGATGTGCCATCACATCTCTAATTCTTTCCCTGATGCCTAGCAGAAAACCTAGCACATGATTTCTGGACATTGCAGGGAGCCTTAGGGACCTGATTCCTAACCAAGTTCACACTTTGACCACTGTTGTGCAGTATTGGTCAAAAGTGCAGCTTAGCCACTGCAGCATTCTTGCTAAAGGAAGGAGGTGTGGCTAGCCTGCTTGGCATCTCTGTTATCTGGGATACGGACCAGGCCCTCAGTGTTTTCCTGCATGTATGCCCAGGAGAGAATTGGGGTAATCCTGCTCCATTTCTTAGCTGCACAAAGACTCCCTCAGCTGATGAAGGGTGGAGGGAGCAAGGGAGCTCCAGTTTTCTGTAGCTGTCCTGTCCTGCTTCTATGGAAGCATAAGCTCTTCAGAGAGATTGAAATAATTTTCATTAGTTTTATTCTTAGCTCCTGGTAGCTGCAAGTAGGCAACTCCTTTCCTCTATAAAGGACAACTTTAGGTAACCAGCCCCAAGGTAAGTGAGAAGCTCCCATAAAGGAGCTGGCCTGTTAGCATCTGTTAGCTGAGAAAGCTGTGGCAGAATTACATCAGTCCTGTAGTGGTGGGGGGCGTCATGGTACTTGTTGCAATTAGTTACATTTGCCACATGAGGCCAGTCAAAGAATGATTTTGCACTTTTGAGGTGCCAGGTGCCTAGTCTTGGGTTTGATGGGTACACCAGCCCAGGGGAGTGGCTTTATGCCTCTTGAGGGGCAGCCTCCTTTGCTAAAATTTGCCAGTAGTTTTGTGACTCCTGTAACCAAGTAGCCTAATTCTCTTTTCCTCATGAGCCCACAGATAACTGTGACAGGCTACTTACTGCATGGGAAACACTGCTGTGTGACCTGGCAAGCACAGGAATGCTGTGTCCCACCAGGAGCTCTGCTGCAGTGCTGACTGGCATGGAATACTCAGATCCTGTGATGACTTCCAGGGCATTTATTTTTCCTGTACAGGTTGGAGGGGCTCCCCCATCTTTGCTGCTCTGCCTCTAGTGCATCTCTAATTTGCTGGCCTCCTTGGTTAGGAACCTGCTTGTTATCTGCACTTATCCTTCCCTCAGCCTGCTCGTATCATCATGGCCCAAATGGCTCTGAGATGCCTGGCTCAGGAGGCACTGTTCCAGAACAATGATTTTATGCAACTGTGGTTAGTTACAGACAGCTGTGCTGTCTGTGTGATCTGTGGGATCTTGACACAGCTTCTGAGCAGCCCTATTTACAACTTGTCAAAGTAGAGAATCATCAATAAAATGCCAGTGTGTGGCCAGCCACCATAGTGTGCCAGTGGCTTGCATTTCATCCGTATGGTCTCAGCGGGATTGTTCTTGAAGACTGATTCACACAAATGTTGCCTGAAAATTAATTTCACACACAGTGCCCAGTGACACGTAGCAGGTCTTAAGGGTGTGTTCTCAGAGCAGAGTTAACTGTCCAGTTGCTTCTGCTCTCATCCAGCTAACAAAAAAGTAAAAGAAGGAAAAAGAGATCCCTTGTTCGGATAATGGATACTTAAAATGGAAGACCTCAGGATTTTTCTACATTTTGAATTAGACCTCTGGTGATGGTAGAGTGTCTAACTTATGGTAAGAAAATCTCAGAATGCAGATAGGTAAAGTTAGTGATTTTTTTAAAGCTATCTTTTCATTTTGAACATACAGTTTAATTATTTGTCAGTGACAAAGCAGAATGCTTCAAAAATTGGAAGAGTCTTTTGGTTTCCTTCAGAGATATGACTACATGTAGACTGACCAGAAAGTGTCACCGTTTTTTATCTTGTGACATACTGTGCTAAGCTTCTAGCAATTTTTACAGAACTTAATGTTGAAAGTGAATTATTTCAGAAGCATCCACCACAGCATAAGATGACTTTGGAAAGTTTTAACACAAGTTGTTCTCTCTTCCTGAGACTAGATTGAGGAAAATAGATGACATTGCTTAGTCAGAGCAGTGCTCACAAGTGTTTGCTTGAGGCAGTGTAGAGCCAGCCCTATACAAAATTTTAGTGCAACATGCTTGCTTGAGGTGGATCTGTGCTCTGCCTGTAGCAGTTGTATGCCTAACTCATTCAAAATTTAGGAAGGAAATGTTTTGTGAACATGTGGGTAAATAATTAAAGATTGCTTTGTAAAATAGATTAGGTTTTGGATTATCACAATTTTGACTGTTTTATCCTGCAATATCAGTTTCCTCCTATCATGGGTGGAATATTGCATACCAGCAGGATGCTGCTACAGAGAGCTGGCATGTGGGCTAAAAATAATACTTTTCCTACCCTTCCTACCCAAGCTTAGCACATATGGTGGATGGATCTCTCTCTAGGAAGGGAATTTTTGAGTAGTGGAAGAAGAAAAGCACAAAAAATGCTGAGGTGTACAAAGAAGCTGTTTGCTGACATATCAGGTATGATAAGTTTTTTTGTACCTTTTTAAAAGGTGCAAACACCTCAAAGAAGAAGAAGAAAAGTCTGACTTACACTGAAACAAAATCATGAAAAGACATTTTCAAGCAGGCCTATTCAGAGTCATAAGAGTAGGGTGGTCCATGGAATTGCATGCAAAATATCTATTTGGTGAAAGTAGGGGGAGTGAGAGAGAAAACAGAAGCCACACTGCATAAGCGCCAAATTTCCACCAATTTTGATGGAAGAGGTACCAGTTTCTAAAGTATGATTTTGTCATTTTATTCTTAGACAATTTTAGTGTTAAGGGGAAAACTATTTTACTCTTTAATCTATCTTCTTTCATCCTTTTTTTGAAGGTTCGTACAAAAGATCGTGTCTTTGACAGCATAAGTCATCTCATCAACTATCACCTTGAGAATAATTTGCCTATAGTTTCTTCAGTGAGTGAACTCTGCCTGCAACAGCCTGCTGAAAGAAAACACTGACTCCAGATAACTCTTTTAGTAATTGCAATTCGAAAGCTACAACTGGTAGAAATTGTAGATCTGAAAGGAAAATGCACATTAAAAATGCCCACATATTCACATACATTTCACAAGTATGTTTTATTTAAGTTTAAGAAGCCCCATTTCATATGGTCCACTTGAATGTTTTCAATGCTTTACGTGACATGAAATCACATCATAAGCCTTTCTTAAAATTTCAACAAAATTGTTCAGATTCTCTAATGTGAATGTTGATAGTGTATATACACCTTATATATAAATACAGTATATATTTATATTTTTCAAGTCTGTCTGTTGACAGTATAAAACTATCTTCTGTGCCATGTGTTTTTACCAAAAGAAAAATGACAAGTGTGATTGTTCAGATAAAAAAAATAGAATTCAGCAGTCTCAATTTCTTGAGAAATTTAATATTACAAATCTTATTTCTGATTTTACCTAAGAAGCACAACTATGGGGATTACAGATGGATTATGACAGTTAACCATAGAAGGAATCTGAATTCAGTAACTAGTATTACAACTCAGAATTTAGCATAAAATGTTTTTTAAAAGCATTATTCAGTGTCACTGATATCAAAAGGATTTTATCTTTCTGATGTCAAGTTTGAATTCTTATATGATGCTATTCAAAACATTTGTATCTTACTTTAGCAATGACTTGGTGTGATCTCTATGTGTACAAGGTGTGTACTTTGATTTTTCTAATGATATTGTAACAGTATACTGTAAGTTCAATTTTTTAATTTCAGTGCTAAGGTTATTTATAAGTAGTTCTCTGCTTATGGTGAAGATCTAGGTGTCCTTGAACTAACAGTCTCAAATGAGATGTTGCATACTGATTGGACAAGTTCAAATAACTTGCGTTTAATAGGCTTAATACAAGATGAACATGACTGTTCAAAGACAAAGATTTTTCAAAGATCTGAAAAATCTTTTCTTTTTGTAAGCAGTGAAAACTATCTGAACTCAGTGGTCAGTTTTCCAAATGATGTCACTTGCATTTACTTGCCAAAGCATAACTTCATTTTGGCCTTCAGCAAGTGATAGGTATTGGAAATATACTGTTTTTCTCTAAACATCAAGTTTAAAAAATACACATACAATAAAGATGCATTTCTGGCAGCAATGCCCTTGACTTTTGGTACTGGGAAATGCTTTAAGGGATGTTTGTACTGTTCACATTTAAACATTATATAAAGTTATTTTCCCATTCTATGAATCTTATTATGAGTCAAATTCAATAGACACAGTTCCTGTAAATGCAATGCTTGTGCCAGAGTCAAGATTTAGCCTTCAGCAATCCAAGATCTTCTCTAGCAGCAGTCTCTCAAATCAAATCTTCAGACTTGATTCACAAAAACTCAGCAGGGTAAGTCTAGGTTAAGTACCTGCCTACCCCGCAGCATACTTAAAGTTACATTTGGTTCTAAGAATTTGCCAAGTTTAAAAATTTGTAAAACCATAATGAAATTAACTGAAGAATTCACTTAGAATGTATTCAGCAGGAGTATCATGTTAAAATTCTGAAATAGCTTTCTTGTGCCTTCTGCTTTTAAATATGCTGAAGTTGCAACTTGAAAGTTTGATTTTGAGTAATCTCAAAACTGAAAATTATTGACACCTAAAACTAATCATGCACCTCTGTAAAAATATACTTGATTCTGTAATTCTGACATCCAGAAGCCAAACAAAGACATTAGTGAACCAAATGCTTGTGATTAATTTTACTAAAGATGGTTATTATTTGATATTTCTAGGTCTGAATGAGAGCTAAGGAGAGCAATTAAATACTAAATTCAACCCTTATCAGTATGGCACTGAGTTTAGTAGAATTATTTAAATTTTGCTTTACTAGACTGGAAGTGGCAAGGAAATAGGAACAGATCTTATATGCCAAAGTAGTATCCACCAAAATTACTTTGTTTGAGAGTCTCACAAAATGACTTACCCATATCTGACCATATTCCAGTTTAAATTATCTCAGCTGCCACTTCTTTTTTCATATATAATGCTTGTTATTCCATGCTCTCACCTTTCTGTACCCATGTTCTGGAAAGTTTTCAGGTGTGCTATCACGACCTATAGGACAAGGTGTCTTTTTATCTTTGTATATTGCATATAATTTCAGTAAAAGTCTGGTGCATAACCCTCTTACATGTCTTCAAGAAACCCACCTGCTCGCAATATCCATTCTGGATTCCTAAATATCCTGGAAAAATTTGACAAGATTTGGGTGTACGGATTTAAGGCACTAAACATACATTGAAATAGGTATCTTAATTTTTTTACCACTGTCCTATCTGTAGCTTTAATGACTTAGCAGCCACTTAGCTGCATGTTTTGGAAATTAAAGCTGATGCCAAGGAGACACAAAATGAAACTGCTTCACAGAAATACTGAATTTCCCAGACTATATTTCACAAAGTGTGCCTCCAGGGGAATGTGGCTATTTTGAGCTGCTCTGTCAGCATAGCCAATTTGCCCAGCTCAGTGTATCCACTGATGATGTAAAGCTTACATACATCTTGTCCAGATGTAACGTGGTCCAAGACAGCAGTAGCACCATTGCACTGCAACAGTGCCCTGCTGACACGATGGGCCAGCAGGTCCTGCCTGGCCACACGTGAGGGTACAGAGGCTTTTCTACATCACTGGGAGACACACAGCCTCACAACTGTACAGAAAGGAAGAGCATGTGCTCCACTCAGTACTCCATTTTTGGATCCAGCCAGGTTTCATAGATTTGAAATCTACCACAAAGGTAGGTAGAAATCTCTGGTAGATTTGGCTTTCTCCTTTATGAAAAGGGCAAATGAATTGTAAAACTATTTGGATAGCAGCTCCAAACCAGTTGTCATTAGACCAATTTTAAACTGATTTTAACAAGAATTAATTGAGCCTGCTAGAATGGCTGGGCTCACTTCTGTAAGGAGCCAACACTGCCACAAATCTAAGAGAAGCAGAAGTAATAAGATAAATTTAAATGCTGAGAAGTTAGCTGAAAACCTGACAACTGACAGCATAATAATGTGAGTCTTTTGATGTTCACCTTTGGTTGGAGTACCTCACCTTTTTAATTAATTTTTTATGCAATCTCAAGGACTAGACATTTCCTTATGGTAATTCAGTACCATGACTTCAAGAAGTGGGATTTTACTGAATGAAAAACATTTCTAGACTCAAGAGAAATCACTGAGATTAGGTAATATTATAGTATCTTTTGATGTCTTTTCAGTGAATAGATGAGAAGTCAGAACTGAAACTCTAAATATTTTGCCAGACTGTCTACACTGGTTTTGAGTCCTATCTGATTAACAGTTTTGATTTGAGTCTGTTGCAACTATAGGAATGAATGACAATGAAAACACATTCAATGCTTTTAAACAAAGAACATTTATATGTGAACCAGATGATTTTGATTACTTTTTTTTTGCAGATCTAGATTAATTATTAAATTAATAAAATTAATCCAGTGTTGCTAACAGTGATAGATTGCACATCTAGGTACAATCATGTTCCCAAACTTTTCATTATTTCAGATGCTTCAGAAGCAATGAAACCTGAAAATTAGTTTGAAAAATGAATTACCTTCTGACAAATGGGAGTTTGCTCAGAGTGAGAAGTTGCAGCTTCCCTTTCCTTAATGCAAGAAGAGGATGTTCAAACTAACCATAGCTGGATGGTCACCATATGAGAGGATGCAATTTCCATGGCTTAGTGCCTGCCTTTTTGCCCAGCTATACAGTTGTTTCACTCCACTTAATTTCCTACAGGGTTCACAATGGGAGGTAACACTGGTCCTGACAAAACCTGTCTGCCAGACATTCAATGAAAGCTTGAACAAAGGACATAGTCCTGGGACCAAGGCTTCAGTGCAAAATGTGCAAATGGAACAAAATGTTTAACAATCTGGTAAATGTCACCTGCCAGGAGAGGATTTTCTACAGGCTATATTCATACTTTTTCCACACTGTGGAATAATATACTCACTTTTCTTGTCACCATGGTCCCCAGGTATCATATAAAGTAAGATGAGGAGAATTTAAAAAAAAATTATATTGTAGTGTGATTGCTGCTGGCACATCAATACCAGATACCAGATATAATGTATTAATAATAGAATGGATGCATATTTAGACATTTGTCAGTAGATTTGATAACCAGCAAAGTTTTGTACCTTCTAGGAAATTTGCAGTTATCAGAGGGATAGTTGGAACTTGTGAATACTAGAGAAAAGATTACAAATCCTGCTTTCAAAGCTGTTTTTAGCTTCCAATGTCTATCCAAAGGAAGTGGTAAAACCAAGAATTTATATTAAGTAAACCATATTTGCATAAATGAAGTCTAAGCTGAAGTAAGAGACAGACTTCCCTTTTTATCTGCCTGACAGTTTCAAAATATGTCTGCATAAAGTCTAAATTCAGACATACTTTAGTGTACTGTCAACACTGCTTTGACTTACATGGTCTTTTTTGCTCAAGCTGAGGTTTGCACTCTTCACACTTTCATGTGTGTTCAAAGCTGTCAAAATAGCAGGTATATTTCCACTTAATGCTCCGTGATCAGCTAGACTTACTCTACTCACTCACAGTGTCTGTGGACCTTGCTCATATCTGCATTGTTTGCAGCTGGAATGAGGGCAGGTCTGTGGAAAAGACAACATGGACATACAATTTGCCTGCAGTTAACCTGAGGCTTGGATAGAGAATGAAAAGCTGTCTTGGGAGAGAAAACTTCAGGGATAAGAAATATGAAGCCTGGAAACATGAGCCAGTAGGCATTTAAGCCACTAATGAGAATAGAGAGTTGTTGCCAAATTATAAACATGCTAATTGGTTGATAGAGTTAAAGCAGAACCTCTGGGGATACAAAGCCTACTGCTCATCTCTTATTGAGACATTTATGTTCACAAGCCCTGATATGTTCCTTTGCACACTCCAATGTAAACATCTCCTAAGGCTTCCAGGGAGAAAATGAAAATACAGGGCTTCTTTTTTTTTTTTTTTTAGTAATGGGGATAAGATTTTTGAGCTAAACATTTCTAGCAAAAGCACTGTACAATGCACCATGTTTCAACCTTGTTTGACAACACAACAGGTCATGGAAACCAAAGGAAGACAGAAGCTAGAACTAGGTGACTCATTCTGCTACCCCACTGTATGAGACAGTGCAGATGACTCAGAAAACAAAGGTAGCCTCAGAATTTGAGATTAAGATGCAGATTTACACTTTATGAAGATCAAATAAAGTCCAGGTCAATGAAAGCTTTTTCCAGCAGTCCTCCTTTTTCTTCCATGAGAAACAAGACACCAAACATACCCAGGCATACATTAATTCAAAGCTAAGTAAAATTTTCTATAAAGTGAAGAATGTGAAGATTATTATTAGTATATATTTGTGTCCTTTTTGTCTGGATTGCTGTGATAACTGCTTCTTAGTGAAGTCCTGCAGAGTTAAAACTTGAAAGAAGCTAGGTTTCTTTTTTTGAGTTAAATGTTTTTCTTTGCATTGTGTGGGCAGCAACAACAAAACTAAAAAGTGACTATTTTGCTGTAAAAAGAAGTTTTATTGTTATTTAATAATATTTATTACTTTTAGAAACATTTTTAACTGAAAATTGCAGGAAAAATAATGTATGTGAAAATATTGTGATAATTTATATTCCTAACCACTTTTGTGAATCTCAAGTCTTTGCCTCTCTGCTGACTGTGATATTTTATCTATAGAGACAAATTTTGTCTCTGAGGAAGTCCTTGAGCAATGTAGTTCGGAATATAAGTGTCATGCAACTGTTTTCTGATTATTCAGTTTGTATATGTTTAACCAAAGTAATAAAACAGTGAGCACTATTACTAGATTGAAATGCATGTAAAGTGGTCTTGAGTCTGTTCTCTTATGCTCAGGTTCCTTAACGAAGTTTATTTGCTGGGTTTGGGATTGGTCTTGGGAGCCCAGTCTGTGTCTTGTGCCCCCCAACCTGAAGGGAGGCATGTTTTGTAGCAGAATGGGTGCCATTCCAAAAGGTTCACCTGGATACTGAATATTAGTAAGTCAATCAATTGCTTAACCCAGTAGAATCAGAGATGAAAAATGTCAGAGGACCAAATGGCATATGGGGACCTGGACCTCAACTACACTGACCTTACACCACCACAGGAGCTCCATGTTCTTTGACAGAGACAGCACACATGTTTGTTTCAACAAATACATTTGTGAAAGCAAATGTATTTGATACAGGCCCTCCTTCTGAGCCAGATGATGTCCTGTCCTGGAAAGGTAGCTTTCCTGCTTGGCACACTGAATAGATGAGAATAGAAAAGGGTAGTCCACTCCATGATGTTTCCATGGGGAATGACTGCAAGGATGAGAACAGCCACTTTGTGTACGGTGGAGAGGGCAGTGTCTCCATGCCAGCAGGAAGCTCAGCTCTGCTGAGCTCTAACCCTAGCCCTACTCCTCTTCCTCCACTGAACATGTCTTCCTTCCCTTTTAACCACTTGGACAAAAGCTGGGCCTAAGCATGCCCTAGGAAGTTACACTGCTCTTGGGGAGAAGAAATGCCTCTGAATACATCAGGGGCATCTATAAACTGTGCATGCCTCTGCACAGTGCTTCCAGCCTTCTTCAGGTCCTGGGCCACAGGACAACAGCAAAACTCCCAGTCATTGCTGCTGTACCTGGCCCCCATGAGTCCGGCCATGAGAAGGGAGTTTCTCCAGGACTAGCATGGCTTAGGATCCCAGCTCCTGCTGGGAGTGTCCTTACTTGTGTTGGCAGGTGAAATGGCACCTGCAGGTGAACACCAGCACATCTCTGCTCAGAAGGAGCTGACTGCCTGCTTTTAGGACCCATGCTTTTTGGTGCCTCGCACTTTTGCACAGGTGTGTTTTCCATTTCTTTACTAGAGCAGTTGGAAACAAGCCTTGAAAGCAGCGCAAAGCTTCACTACAGTTGCTTCTTGCAAAATGTCTCTTTCCAGGGAGCAGCTGTGCCTGGAGTAACTGGAGCAGACAGCCCTCCAAGCAGATAGGCCAATGGGCTGACCCTACTCCCAGAAAGCAGGGACAAAGCCTTCCTCCAGCTCTGGGGATGGCAGATGCAGGGCCTACCACCCTCAGCTCCATAGCATTCACAGAATCATGTCATGTCCT